GAGCTGCTTCAGCAGCAGCTCAAGACCTCACAGAAGAAGGTGGGTGTCAGTTCAGTTGGTGGCAGGGTGGCAGGCTGCTGAGTGGTCCCTGTGATACTGTTACTGCCCTGCTCAGGGCTGTATTGGACACCTTCCCCAGGCAGAGAAGCCTGTCCTGTCCTCTTCCTCTTTGTGGGGGCCAAAGGACTTGCCCTCCCATTCAGATAGGTCTGAAGCCAGTTCAGGTGCAGCTTGACAGGTCCTTGCTCACAGCTGCCCCTGCAGGATCCCCTTTGTCCTTGTGTGCAGGCTTGGCTGGGCAGAGGAGATGCAGGCTGAGTGGAGGTGGCTCACACAGGAGTGCCAGGAGCTGTGGTTCCCCATGGCTCAGCTGACAGAGGAGCTGGAGGAGTGGTGGGATCAGGTAGGGGCTGGATAGGGAGGACAGGGCCCAGGCAGGCCACATCTGAGGGGAGGGAAACAAGGTGATCAGACCAGGGGAGCAAGGACCACTAGGATAGAGGAAAGCCAATGTGAGAAACCTCAAAATGCGTTAATATCTCTCTCCTGCCTTCTGCCCTGGGGACAGGCTCAGGGACTGGCTTTCCAGAGTACAGCTTGCCCATGCCAGCCACCCCTAGGTAGCCCTAGGGCAAAGCTGGACCAGACCTGCTTCCCAGTACCAGGTTTGCACTTTGCTGGCAGCAGGAAGCAGGGGACATGTAGTCCAAGCACAGGTTGAAGCCCAGCTTGCCTGGGATGTATCTGAGAGCAAACCCAGGTCAGCAGCCCCCTCTGCCTCCTGCCGTTGCAGCCCTTGGTGCTAGGACTCCCTCCCAGAGGATCCCTCCGGCAACTCTTGCTCCTCGCTGCTCAGCAAGGGGAGCATCTCTCAGCAAGGGGGCCCTGTTTCTTCTGCAGCTCTCAGTGCTGTCCACCTCTGGCTTTGTAGGCTACCCAGCAAGCACCACTCTCATGGTCTTGCTGCTCTGCTGTGGCCATGCTGGTGTGAGAGCCAAGGCAGGGGCTGAGGGTGCTTCCTAACATCTCCCCTCACCTGCAGCACACCCTGAGCCTGTCCCACTGCTGGCACAAAGCTGTAACTGGCTATTGGTCCTTCTGTGTTACAGCTCTTAGAAGCCAAAGCAAGCCTGAGCCTGGCCCAGACTTGGCATGCTCTGCAGTTGCAGCAGGCCAAGGCCCAGATGAACAACATGGTGCCAAAGATACAGTTTGAGCAGCTGCAAACCAGCTTAAGAGAGGAACAGTGCAAGGCTCAGCAGCTCCAAGACGACCTCCACCGGCAGGCTGAGCAGACATGCAGGCAGCTGGTCAGGACCCGGGTAAGCAGGGAATTGTGGGAACTCAGTCAAGGGTTCCAGGGAGGAAGCACTGCCAGCCTGGAAGGCAGCTGTGGTCAAAGCCACCAGAGGTTTGGGTGGAAGATGCTATATATCAAAAGCCCATGTGGAAAATGCACTTCATCTTTAAATTTAGCTGCAATTTTCATTCCACATGAACCCAGTCATCACCCTGCACTCATGCAGGAGCCCTCCCCACTCTAATCCAGCTACCGCAGACCAGACACCTTGTGCCTAGAGGAGCAGGAGTTACCCAGGGAGGCACTCTGTGTTGGCTTAGGATGGAAGAAGACAGTTTGAACCCTCTACGTGGAGATGCAGCCTGCACAGAGTGGAGTAGTGTTACATCTACAGCACTGGGCAACAGGGTATTTGGTTTTTGTAGGTTTGTCCTTTGTTTCAGGTCACTGTGATTCAACTGAACTAACCTGGGCAAAGATGGAGCAAATTACAACCTAAGGAATTAAAATGAGCAGTCACAAAAACTGCATCCAAGGAGACTATGTCTCACCCTGGACTTTTCTGGGCACAGCTGAGAGAGGGGAGGCCATTGGCTTGTTTTTATAGAAAACATTGCTGCGAAATCTGTGCCTTGTCTTAGAACTAGTTGGTGCTGACCTAGGGAAGGTTATACTGCTCTAAACATTTGTCCCGCTGCTCTTTGCATCCTGCACCACCTCCACTGATCCCCACACGCTCTCCTTCAGGGAGCGTGAAGGTCTGTGAGTGGGGTCCTGTGGAAATGCATGGTCCGGGATTGCCGGGGCCAGGTGAGCACTGGGACAACCCAATGTTAGGCTTTGTTGCCCACTACAGGAGGAACATGAGTGTCTGCTGCACGCAGCTGTGGAGCAAGCAGAGGGACTGGAGCACAGTCTGAGGAGTGCTGAAGCTGTGCTGGCAGAGAGGGCGGCTCAGCTCAAAGATGCCCAAGTAAGTGCAGGCGGGATTAGTGCTGCGCGTCCCTGTGTGGCAAGGACCCCTGTGTGAGGATGCTGAACCTTAAGCCTCCTGTCCCTGCTGTAGGCCCAGCTCTCCAGGAACAAACTGCTGATCAAAGACCTCCGTGAGGAGAACAGGGGGTTTGCAACGGCCCTTCAGGCGGCTGAGCTGAAGCAGAAGAGCACCGAGGAGAAGAACCAGCTGTTGGAGGAACAAGCCTCAGCTCTGAAGCAGCTCATTGGAAAAATCGTGCCAGCATCTCTGAGTGGGTGATGGCACACCTGCTGTGGCAGCCCTGCCCCTAGTCCTTGCTGGGGTTTGTCAGGTACGGAAGGGGAGGGATGGCAGAGTTGGGAAATCAGCCTTGTCCTCCCTGGTCTTGCCAGGATTTTCCTGGCTAGAAAGTAGAAAATGGAGAAATGAGTCCTTTAAGGAAATTGGTCCTCTGGATAGATGGATTTTCCTACTGAAAGCACCAGATTTGGTCCTTTCTCAGTAGCAGAGTGTGCTGTCATGTCAGGTCTGTCTCGGGGCAGCCAGCCCACAGGAGCTGCCTGCACTCTGGCAGTGTGTTTGGTGGTGGCGCGGATGCTCGCTCTCTGTGGAGAGTTGCTGTTGGGGCTGCACCATTAGAGCTGGGAAGCAAGGGCAGGAAGGCTCGCGGGTTCCTGTGTCTGGCTCACTGAGTGGGAAAGCTGTGTTGTGGCATTGTTTGCAATATTACAGCACTTCCTGCCATCTCCAGTCTGCTCTGTATTTCAGTAAGCCTCCCCCATGTGTTGCTGAACTTTTATTCCCTACAGCTCCTCTTGGGCTCTAGGAGACTCTGGCCCTCCTAAAGCCTGAGCCTAGGATCCAAACCAACCTGTTGTTGGATTGTTGCCTCTGTGGTGAGCAGGACCTTCTTTCAGTTTGAGCCTCCAAGGCTTGGGGCAGGGTTGGTGACCCCTACTAAGCATGCACATCTTCAGAGATCAGGAGACATGGTAAGTGAACTGCATCATCTCACCTTCCTTGTTGGCCTTCGCACACTGGCAGTGAGTAGTGCTCTTGCCAAAAGTTGTCCAAAAGGCCACAAAGCCAAGCATTCACATCAGCAAATACCAAGTTTATTGATCTGCCCAGGGTGTTGCCCTCTGCATAGAGGATACATCATTGTCATGGTGCCCCTGCCTTGCTCCATGCGGAGCAGAGAGTGTTTATGTGGGGGCTGTGGTTCCACTAGCTGTGAATGGACTCCGAGGATTTTGGGGCTATGGAGACTACTGTATGTGAGAGACTAGGCAAGCCTGAGTGGATCAGGGTAGCAAAGCAGAGGCTGGACAAAGTCAATACAAGGAAGAGGGCTTAGAAATAGCTCTAGGTGTCATTGCTTCAAGAATGAAAGGGGATAAATTGGCTGCAAGCTGATTCTTTTAAGTCCCAGCCTGCCAGGGTGGAGGGGTTCCTCAGCCCTGGGCCAGTGCCAGGAGATGGCTGGAGGCTGTGCCTGAGGGGGCTTCCTTGATCTGGGCGTGCTTTTTCTGCCCTGGTGGATGATGGCTGAGACTTCTCTTTCTTTGCCTCGGGGGCAGCCCTGATTACAAGGGCCGTGAGGGGAGCTGGGCTATTACAAGGAGGGAAGCCCCATGGAGGGTGCGGGCTAGCTCAGGGAGGTTCCTTGGCTGGGACTGGGAGAGCAATCCAGTCCCACCCCAGGCATTTACCCTATTCCTGTATTCTTTTCTTAGTAATTTGGGTTTTGGCTTCTGAGATGGGGGCTAGGCAAACCTGTAGTCTTACCCAGGGCTTATGTTTTTGGAAGTATCCTCTCTTGGCCACTACTCAAGAGAGAGCAGCTCCATTAGGAAAACCAGACAGGGAGAGCAAATCTTCAGCCTTGCTCTGGCTTTGTGCTAACTGAAATCCTTAAAACCTTCTGTTCCCTTTCCCACTCCTACTCCAAATAGCCCCTAGGCCCTGCCAGACCAGTGCTCTGGGGAAGGAGACTCTTCACAGAGGGACAGAGGTACAGCCCAAGTGTGCTGGGAGAAACCTTGGCCAGGCCCATGACCCAGACTGCAGTGCTTATTCACTCAGCACCTTAAGAAACATTTCCAGGCCTCCGATGGGAGACAAGGCTAATCCTAGAAAGAAGCTCATGTAGCCTCATCTGGCACTTACAACTGAGACACCTAAAAACCAGTTGAGCATCACCCTGCAGGATCAAGATGGGTTGGGCCAGAGCGCCAAGTCACGTGTTTAATGAACACAATGTTAACTCTTGAAAAACACTACATTGAAGGCTGAAGCAGTTCTTTATTTTGCAACCATGGAGCTCGCCTGGCTTCTGAAGCCCAGCTGGTCAGTGTCTTACTCCCACATGCAGAGGGTGAACATAGAACTGCTCCAATCAAAAATGCATTCACAAAACCTGCTTGTAGCTGTGGGGCTTGGATAACATCCTCCCCGCCCCAATGTCACCACCCACTATGCTGGATTCCCAGGATCGCTACATTACTAGTATGCACCCTTTGGTCATAAAGAGTTGGCCAGTGTGGTTTGCATACTTTATAAACTCAGAGGTGATCTTCTTGTCAGGTATCAAAGGCTGTTAAGAGGAGTGGCAGGGTGCCCACTGCAGAAATGCTGAGGTGTCTGAGGTCCTGCACACCCCAGAGTTCAGTCCCCGTTGTGGGCAGGCCACCAAGCAAGGGTTGTCCCTCCTGTCCTGCACACTTATGACAGAATGTGCTCGAGGACTCCTTGTCTGATTAATTGCTCGCATTTCCAGCGGGGTAAAAAGTGCTGCACAGAAACAGACAAACTTTTCTTAAAACTCAGGCAGACTGAATTTGTTGTTACTTGTGGTGCTGTATGCGTGCTGCATCATGGTACTGGATCAGGCAGAGCTGAACCACAGTCCTGAGCCACACAGACAGCTTGCAGCATGTGCAAGGCATTGTGTGTGCAGGAACTGTGTGACGTGCCTCGAAGCTGGGATAAGCAGGGGGATGTCATGGGAATGAAAGGGAAGAAAGAGAATGGACCACGCTCTCTTGTTACAGGTACCTGGCTATTCTTCTTCAACAGGACAGTGGTACCATCATCGATCTCAAATTCTCCATAGTCTTTTAAACACCGCACCTGCAAAGCGGAAACAGCTCTCGGATCATCAGATCTTCCACAGAAATCACTAGACCTCCCTGCTGACTTACAGCACACATCCCAGAGCTTTACATATGGACCCATTCCTACCCGTCTGCTGAAGCCTCGATATAGAACAGACCTGGAAATGCAGAGCTGGACTGATCCCATGCTCTGTGGGCTCTGCCTGATGTTCTCTTCCTGCCTCTGCCTGGAGCAAGAAGCACACAGCGAGCAGCCCAGCCCTCCACAGAGGCTAGAGGAAGAGTGGCACAAGAGACAAGGTCTGGGGAACAGCAGCAGCATTTCCAGGAGAAACTCCCCTCACACAGACCAGAAAATGCCAATCTGTTGACAGTGAAACTGTCTTATTAAGGAGCAGGTTGATTGTCACTACGTGCTCTTTCGAAAAGAACATGAGAACAGAGCACTTCAGCTACTGCCTCTAATTTTTCATGTGCTCTTGCTTTGTGGTATCAATTGTGTAAAACGATTTGTGGTGTCATCTATCAGTCATAAATAACAACAAAGAAAACTAGTTAATGATCCTTAACAGGGGAACAAGGTTTCTAGTTGATCTCAGAGCTGGTTAAGTTTCTGCAAAATGCTGCAAAACCTTCTCACTGGGATTCAGACCACTCATCCCACCACACCAATACCCTACAGACTAGAAATGCCCTTTTTCAACATACTTTGAGCCCTCAGTAGATGAGGGAGTAAAACACTGGCAGACAGAGTGTAAAGAGTAAAATATAGAAGCTTGTGGAAGCTTCAGTGCTCTCGAAGGCTTTGCTCAATGACCTAACTTGGGATGTGGGTGAAATTCTCTAAAAGATGGTTGGGCAAAATGTTTGTTCAAAGACAGAAACCACCAATCTTGCACTTACTTCGATATACAGGCTTTTAGGAGGTTTTATGTCCTGTGTAAGGTCCAGCCCCTCCTCTCCTCCTACTGACCTCATGTAGGTAGCCAGAGACTTTTTGTACCGATTGAACCACTCCACCTGTGGACATTAACAGCGATCCCTCAGGCAAAGCCAAACAGCTAATGCTGAAAAGACAGGTCCCTGATGAATAAGATCTAGTTTTATTTATTTCAATTTAGTTTTTATTTTTATGTTCATGCCAGTCAAAGGTGAACACAAGCTCTTCTGAAGGGAAAAACTGTCCCGGAGGCAGAGCAATCTGGATTCAGAGTAGGAGGTGTGCTGCTGATGTTAGCAGCTGTGTACACTGGTCTAGAGATGGCACTTGAGAGCAGCATGTGAAGACCTAGTTCAGCTGGCTGTGAGTGATTTAGTGAAGACCACCTGATCCTTAAAAGTGCCAAGAATTACCTGCACTTGGTATCCATTTGGGATTGTACTCACAGACAGTGAATAAACAAATCAGTATTTACAGAAAGGCATGTTAAGTGTCATGTTTACAGCAGGGGGAGAGAAGTTTCCCCTATTTTGACTCAGAAGTAGATAATCCACCAGGACGAGTGAGTGGAAAGACGGGAAGAGTTTAAGACAAGGCTGACTTACTTCCTCAGCTGACATGTGAAACTGGACGGTGTTTGGTAGGACACTGCCATACTCCCACCTTAGTGCTCGGATCCGCAGCAACCGGTCATACCTGGGGGAAGAAATGAGGGGCAAAACCAGCATCTTTGCTGAGGCAAAAGGCTGGTGATATCCCCAAGCAACACTGATGCCCCAGGCTGCCCTCAAAGGAGAGAGCAAGAACTTGGGTCATTCCAGTCACTTTCCTTTAAAGGATGTGATTTTTGGCCTAACCAGTAACTAAAACTTTTGAAGAGCAGGAGGAAACAGGGCGTCCTTCTCTTTGAGTGTTCCGTGGTACCAGTGAGGAACACAAAGAGGGCCAACCCCGCAGCTGCCCTGCTATCGCCCCTCGCAGAGGGGGCCCAGAGCCCCAGCACCCAGCGGCTGGGGACCCTGTCTTTTGAGGCTGTCCCCCTGGGCCGGCGGGAAGGAACCGACGCCCCGTGGCCCCGGCGGGCCGCGGTATCCCGCCTCCCCCTTCCCCCGCCGCACTCACAGGTAAGCCAGGATGCAGCGCTGGTTCCGGAGCAGGCAGCAGTGCCGAAAACGGATGAGGAGAATCAGGTCCGTTCGTCCCGCCTTCGCTTCGGACCTGGAGAAGAAAAAGCCGCGTTGCAGAGC